ATAAAAAGTCGACAGTTGACAGCAGCACACATGGCACAAACCCAAACGACATAAAAAAAAAAAAAAAAAAGTAAGGCGAGAAGCATAGAATAGAAATACGCCACCTGTCTGACGTTGACAATGCGAACGCACAGTCGCAACACCTGCTGCTGCAGCAGTTAGAGATGCTCTGTCTCTGTCTGAGTCTCAGTCGTTGTTGCTCTGTCTCTGTCACAATGCCGCAATTTGTTCCAGGCCATTCAACAAATGTTGTTCAATTACCTTGCTGCACACACCCACACACACACCCACACTCTCACATTGTTGCAGCCGCTAACAGAGCAATTGTCTGGGCTGCTGCCACATGGCGTATGACAGCAGCCAATGACAATTGCCAACTGGCAAACTGGCAACTAATAACATTTCCAACTGCCAACAACTGCTGCCCCATCTGCAGTCTGAGCTACGTTTGCTAAATGATTTGTTAGAGTTAACTATCTGGCTGCACTTCCGGCAGCTGCTACAAGCGCTGTTACAGGTGACACAGTGAAAAGTGTGTTTTAATTAGACATTAGAGATTTGCCAGAGCCTCCCCAGTGCACGGTCTTCGTCTATTACTTAGGTAGCTAAGCAGCAGCCACGCCCACAGCTGTCAGCATCGATTTTCACTTTTTGGCATCTGCAAATGGAGCCCAGCCCTTTGAGACTGCCAATTGGTCTGACTTTGATTGCCTCTGCGACTGCCTGTCAGGCCACCTGGCAGCTTGGCCACCTGCTTTTATAATACCTTTTGGCCATTTTGTAGTTAATTTATGAAGTTTAGCTTAGCTATAATTTGCTATTTATTATGTATATGATTATTTCATTATGCCTTCCAATTAAGGTAAACGGTTTTGTGTGTTTGGTTAAATGCTTTCAGCCTGTTTGTGTTTTGTTGCTGTCAGATTTAGCTGTCAAAGTTGGTGTCATAATCTATATATATAAAAGAAAGTTGTGTAAAAGTGAAGACTGCTTATAASTTGATTTRGGCTGAAYYMATTTTYATGGTTTTTGATTTGTTGGATTTGTCTCCGCAACGAGTTTAGTATAGGGTCTTAAAAATACTGAAAAAAATTGCCGAATACTTGAAAAACGCGGTTTTTTCCCCAAATGTTCAAATTTTTTTTATACCCAGTAGGCTTGGTAACAGTGACAGTTTTGACAATAGTGTAGAAGTAAATAAACAAATGTAGTCAGTCAGTCTACGGTCTCCTGACCTCGAGCAGACCTGACTATTCAAAAAAAAAAAAA